GGGTGGGACCGGAGAACTTCCCACCAGAACTCTTCTTGTCATCCGGCGGTTTCTTCTCACTTGTCCGTTTTGGATCTGTATGATTACAGATCTTGGACTCCCGTGTGGCTTAATCACTGTTCCTTCCTCTTTTAAATCGGGGATCCAAATGCGGTCACCGGGTGACAGTTCCTTTCCCTCTACTACTTTGTGTCTATGGTCATAATCGAATTTCATCTTAGCTCGGTACTCCTTCTCTTTCCTTCTGATGTGATCACGGTCTGGGGTCTCTGGCTTTAGCTCCTCCGGGTGACAGGGGACTCTTGTACGAAGTTTCCGACCCATGCTCAATTGTGCTGGAGAGTAACCGTGGTGCAATGGAGTATCTCGGTAATTCAGGAGAGCCAAGTATTCGTCATTACTCTTATTCAAGACCGCCTTCATAGTTTGGACCGCCCTTTCCACTTCACCGTTGGACTGGGGGTATCTTGGAGACGATGTTATGTGTTGAAACTGCCAGTCTGTGGAAAAGTTAGTGAACTCGTGTGAATCAAACTGGGGGCCATTGTCGCTAAATAAGATGTCTGGAATCCCATGTCGACTGAAGATCCTCTTAAGTTGCAGGATAGTCTGGGCAGAGTTTACATTCTTGGACACTTGACTTATCTCTACATCTCTTGAAAAGTAATCTACGGCTAGGAGGTAATGTTTATCCTTGTGCTGAAAGAAGTCTACGCCAACTCTGCTCCACGGTCGTTCTGGAAACTCAGTACCTTTCATTGGCTCAATGCGTTCTCTGCGATATCTCTCGCACATGGCACAGTTCTGCACGACTCTTGTGATATCTTGGGAGATTCCAGGCCACCACACTGAGGAGGCCGCATTTGCACGTGTTTTGGTAATTCCTTGATGACCATCATGAAGACGCCTTAATACATCTGCCCTCAGCCTCGGAGGAATAATGATTCGCCGTCCTCTCAGGAGCAGGCCGTCGTGGAGGGAGATGTTGCCACGTTCACTCCAGCATTTAGCTATTGGCCCGTGGACTCTTCGTTTCTCTTCAGGCCATCCATTCTGCACATACTGCATCACAGTTTTAAGTGTGTCATCACTCTTCAACTCAGAACGTATCTCATCTAACCGCTGGTCGGAGGCAGGTAGGGTTACCAATACAGCATTCACATAGCACTCGACTTCGTCATGTAGGTCGTTCCATGACTTAGGCTCCTGGGCTTTACCCTCCTGGGGGGATCGAGACAATGAATCAGCTGTGTACAAGAGTTTACCAGGAACATGTGAGATGGCAAAGTCAAATCTCATGAGTCTCATACTGAAGCGTTGTATGCGTACTGGTAGCTCGTCAATCAGCTTTGTGGAAAACAATGGAATCAATGGCTTGTGATCGGTTTCCACTTTAAATCTCATTCCGATCAAGAATTCAGCCCAGTGTTCAAGTGCCCATGTGATAGCCAAGGCCTCTTTTTCGATCTGGGCATAACGACGCTCTGTCTCGGTCATTGATCTACTAGCATAGGCCACTGGCCTCATTTCACCGAACGGCTGCTTCAGCACGAGGACCGCACCAAGTCCAAAACTGCTGGCATCAGATGAGACCACGGTCTCCTTCTCTGGATCGTACAAGGCAAGAACTTGGTCGGATGCCATGTCTACTTTCAGCTGTCGGAAGGCTTCTTGTTGGGCTGTGCCCCACACCCACGCGCTCTCCTTCTTGAGCAAGTCTCTTAAGGGTTTCGTCTTCTCAGCCAGATTTGGACAAAACTTCATAAGGTGGTTGACCAAACCCAGGAAACGTCTCAGGTCTGCAATGTTCTGGGGTTCTGCCATGTCGGTGATGGCTTTGATCTTGGAGGGGTCTTTCCTGATTCCATCACTGTCAATGATTTGGCCCAATTATTGCAACCTGGATTGAGAAAATAAACACTTCTCAAGGTTGAGTGTTAGTTTCCTCTCGACTAGCCTGTCAAGGACTTGCTTAAGTCGTTTGTCATGTTCCACTTGGTCTTTCCCGATGATTAGAATATCATCCATGCGGCACTTGACCCCTTCTATTCCAGACAGTTCTTTGTCCATCCTCTTTTGGAAATGTTCTGGGGCTGAGGATATGCCGAAGGGGAGACGCTTGAACATGTAACGGCCGAAGGGCGTGATAAAGGTAGTTAGCCTGGCACTTTCTGGGTTTAGGACTATCTGATGAAACCCTGAGTTGGCATCAAGTTTGGAGAATACTGAGCCTTCTGTTAGGCTTCCCAGGGTCTCTTCAACTGTTGGCATTTGATAGACTTCTCGGCGGACCGCTTGGTTAAGCCTGGTAAGATCAACACATATCCGCACCCTGCCATCGGCCTTTGGTACTACCACAATCGGTGAACACCATTCTATCGGCTCATCCACTGGTTCAATAACGTCCAGTTGTTCCATACGCTTGATCTCCTCTTGCACTTGCTTCATTAGTGGCAGTGGTACTCGCCTGGGAGTGGTCAAACAAAAGGGTGTGGCCCCTTCCTTCAATTGAATTGTATGCTCACCCTCCAATTTGCCAAGGCCTTGAAAAAGTGATGGGTACTGCTTGACAATGTCCTCCTTGGTCCCTGATTGGAGTGGATGGCTATCAGGCATTTGATGGACGGCTTTAACACTGTATGTCCCAGGGATTTCATGGATAAGACCAAGACTTCGGATGGCGGGTATCCCCAGAAGCAACTTGGATGCCCCACTGACTACGTACACTCCTTCTTTAATGACTGTTTCGTCTTGTTGGAGGTTCATGACTGCACATCCAAGGGTCTTTAAAGGAACATCCCCTGCTCCGACAAGTTCTCTGTCAGATTTTGAAAGTGTTCCATATGAAGACTTGTAGATGTGCTCAGGCATCACAGACACTTGTGCTCCTGTGTCGATGCACCATGCCAGCGTCTCTTGGTCTTGAATCTTGAGGTTGACATGCCATCCAGGGTCGGACCTACTGGTTTGAGAGTTTACTGCTGGTTCGGCCTTGGAGGTGTTTGGACTAGTGGGTGTGTAAACCCCTCCCACAAATGTGAGGGCAAAGTTATCCTCGGTTTCAAGAACTTCGTTGACCGTCTTTGGAGGTACACTCTTGCATATGATAGGGAAATGTCCCATTTTGTTGCACTTGCTGCATCGTGTATCTGCCGCTGGGCAGTTCTTCTTTCCAGGGGGGTGTCGGCGGTTGCAATACCCACAGTTCCGGCCACTTGTTTGGAAGGGCTTCCTCTTGAAGTCTCGCTGGTTCCTTTGCTCTGTATCTTGACCAGCATGAGGGTCTTGCCTGTTCCCTCGCGGTGTGACGCTCTCAATCTCTGCGGTTTTTGATTCGTGTAACTCACGTTTTGTTGCTTCCTTCAAAGACAGGATTTTCACTGCCTTTTCGAGTGAAAGGGCTGCTCCCTCGTCATAGAGTTTTAGCTTGTAATTGTCTTCCTTGCAGGAAAAGGTAAGTTTGTCTCTAACTGCTTGCTCATAGAAATCGGTTGGGAACTTGCACTCGGCGGTTCTTTCCTTGACAGTCACCATCCACGAATCAAAGGTCTGTGTGGGCTCTCGTTTAAGGTGAAGCCAAAATTTCTCTCGCAGCATGAGTTCCATGAGAGCATGGGTCCCGTTTTTGAAAGTATTCATCAAACTTTGCCACAACGGTCGCGTAGTTGTCGGAGTCTTCGGCTGGAAGTTTCTCTTCTCCTCCCGCGGGGTCGTCACGCTCAGGTAGGTAGGTGAAATTCGAGTAAATTTCCAAACACGGCTCGCCGATGTGGTTTAATAGCAGCCCCACTTTCATTTCATCGGGTTTCTTTGAAGCTCCAATTGCCTTGAGGTAAATTTCGAATTTTTGTTTCCATTTTCCCCACGAGTGAGCAGGATTTCCCATCGAAATTTCCAGCGGTTCCGGTGTTTTGGCGAATGGCATGCTTTCCGCCATCTTGTTTTGAACCACGTGCGTAGGATCCGCGTGAAATTTGACCGGTCAATTCGTCCCAGTATTTGATCCGTTTCTCCGATTGGTTTGATCTCCGCAACGGTAGGCTAATAGGAAGGTCACGCTTCTGACACCATGTTGGGTCCGAAGAGGTACAGAGACGACAGCATCAACACAACATACTTTAATACGATAGATTCATACAGCTCTCACGAATGACCGCGCTACCGCCGGTCAGCGGTCAGTTAGTACTTCATGTTACTACAATACTAGGGCTAAAACCCTTTACAAATTGATTTATCGGGGAACATTTTTTCACGCTTCCTTCCTTTTTGCGTGCGAGCGAAGTTTTGAGACCCCTTCATTTTGTCTCAAATTTTGGTTGTTTTCAAGTCGCCGACCACGAAAATTGATTTTGTCGATTTTCTCCAAATCCAAGCGGCCTTTTGAAAAACAAACTACACCACATTTAGTTACTTACTATTAAGTATGTATGGACAAGATATGGGGGAAATTTAATTTTTGACCGTGGCCGCCGGCCGGTTGCTCGATACGGACATTCGCTCCTAAGGCATTAAGTGGGCAGCCTCCTCTTTATATCTCCGAACTAATTCGCCTTACCAGCCAACTGAAACCTTAAGGTCCACTAGCTGTCTTGTAGGTTGCTAACCGTTCTACTTAATAATCATATAGGATAGATCTTTGACTGTTGCCTCTGCCTTATGGAACTCGCCTCCTTTACATTTACGCAACTGTTAGACTGTTAGCACTTTAAACCACAGGGTTAAGAAGTGATTTGACGTCATGCCTTGTCTGCCGTCTTCCTAAAAAAATAGGTCGATATGATGACAAGTACGTGTGAGCCAAATGCGACTGTTCCGTAGCCAGTTTGCTCGTGTCACAAACTACGAGCGCCAAATTCCACCCCTCCATTTCGGCCATAGTTTCCTCCATAGGCACCTACAACTACAGCTTGGCCAAATACTTAAGTAATCTCCTCCAACCTCATATTCCGTCTACATTCATTCAGATTCCTTCACTTTTGTGAAGGAAATCTTTGCATGGGATGTTTATGGTCTCCTTCGATGTTGAAAGCCTCTTCACCAACATACCTCTAGATTATTGTATTAACCTTGCCGTCAAATATATTACTGAGGGTAATCCAGGGTTGAAACTTAGTAAAAATGAGCTTAAAAGGCTGTTTGAGTTTGCTACCAAAGAAACTCACTTCCTTTTCAAAAGTAAATTCTATGATCAGGTGGATGGTGTAGCCATGGGGTCCCCCCTTGCCCCTGTTCTCGCCAATCTCTTTATGGGTCACCATGAGAATATATGGTTGGATCAATACGGGGATTCAGAGGTATTATTCTATCGTCGCTACGTAGACGATACATTTTGCCTTTTCCACTCTGAACGGGATGCAACCCTTTTCTTCAATTACATCAACAATCAACACCCCAATATGGAGCGGGAAACTGACCATGTTTTACCTTTCCTAGATGTTCTAATCAACAACACTGACCCACACCACCGTTTAGCGGAAAAAGACTTTCACAGGTCTGCTCACCAGTTATCTGAGTTTTTGCCCCTTACCTACAAATTGGGGTTAATCAAAATCTTGATTCATAGAACTTTTAAGATAAACAACACTTGGATGGGGTTCCATACTGACCTTCAAAAATTGTCTGTCATTCTGTGGAGGAATCTCTACCCTGAGAACCTTATGAACAAATATATTTCTAAATATATTCAGACAGCAGTCAAGGGAGGGAAAACACAGCCCTATTCAGGAGTCGAGCCCCAGGAAACACCTAAGTTCTTCTTTAAAATCCCTTACGTTGGGCACTTCTCAGTCACGGCACAGAGGAGTATACGCAAACTTGCTAACCGGCTATGTAAACCTATTGATTTAAGGTTACTTTCAAAGTCAGGAATCTTTTTAATGTGAAAGATGCTGTCCCTGAGGGGCTACGCACGCGTGTGGTCTATAAATTCAATCTCGGCGATTTTATTGAAAGGAAGCGTAACTCTTTTGAATCAGAAAATTGAAAGGTATGTTAGCACTAATTTGTCTTTAATCTTCGTGGAAAGTCCCCCAAAAATATCTGGAAAACGAGAGAATTATTCACGCATCGCAAATATAAAAAAATACAATTCATTTGCTTTGGGTGTTTTTCTGAAATCCTACTAGACACCGAAGTAATTCATTGAAGGCGCTTTCCTTCTGAAAACATAAATATCTTTGTCTGCAAAATATAACTATTCATATGTTTCAAGTTTCGCACAGACATTTTATCTTTTCTTTGTCTAGTTGAAAGACGCGTTGCAAGAGAATTTAGAGCTCAACTGATTAATTTAAGTCATCAAACTTTGTTTGCCCAGCATTAAATCGAGTGATGACACTACGCACGCGTGTGGTCTATAAATTTTCGTGTGCAAGTTGTAATGCTTGTTATGTTGGTGAAACCAGCTGACACTTCTTCACACGAGTGCGCGAGCACTTACTTTCAGACAGGTCTTCGAACGTTTTTAAACATCTGCAGAGTTCAGAGTTTTGTAGAGCATCCTGCTCACCGGTTGCTTCGAGATCCTGGACTCTGCAGCCACTAAGTACCAAGTGAAGCTTAAGGAATCCATGTTTATAAAATGGGAGAAGCCCGATCTCAACCGGCAGGTGAAACACATTAACCCATAGGCGTACGGACCGGGGGCGAGGGGGGCTGCAGCCCGCCTCCTCAAATTTTGGGCAACTCAGATTTTTGGGGCAACGAGTGAAAATTTGGGCAAAGCCAGTTTTTAAAGACATTTCCATGCTTTTTTATTATTTTGAAGAGGTAAATATTTCCTATTTTAAATTAAAGTTGGCGTAATAATTCAGTTACATTCACGAGACAGTGGTTGCCTACCACGTGATGAGTTTCTGGTTATTAGGTAAGGGTATCATATGTTGATTTATATATTTGTAGTTTTTTATTGTTAGGCACTGTACTGCGCACACTAGCTGGAATGGGCTATTTCCCAAAAAACTTCTGCATAACTTTCTAGAGTCATCTCCACTCCTAGAAATGCCGACATGGCCATTCAGACCGTGTGCTAGTGTCGGAGTGAAGGGGGTTTCAACAGTGTACGGCACATAACATTACCAATAGGTCTGAAAATGAAGAAAAGGCTGACTAATTCTCAGTCTCGGTTTGAATTCCGAGAAGAATATTATTTTTTAAAAAAAAATCTATCGCGCGGTCTAAAAATTATTCGCTCATTTGCTAAAGTAGACCGAAATGTTTACAAAACCACTAACAAGAGTGCCTCGATACATACTTATCAAATCCTTCTTTCTAAAAATAGGCACGATCTTTCGCAAGTGTTTTTAACAAGATTAAAACTACGCACTATGAGGTGAAGATGCATGGTCAAAAGCGCCTCTTTTTCTACAGATAACGGCCAAACATCAAGATTTAGCCTTTTTTTACCGTATTAATTTTCTAACGATAAAATTTTCATCCCAAAATATCTCGATAACGCTAGCTCTTACAGATTCCGCTTTAACTTCACGAACATCAAGGCGACCGTATTGGAGAAAAAAAGCTCCCGTGAACGATTTTGCAAGAACAGTTCCCGGTGCCAAAAAATATTGCTGTAAGTGTTGGCGGTAGGTAATGGCGTCATTTTGCTATTACAACTCCGATCAAGAACCCTGATCATGACAAATTTCATCTTTATCTAATACAACTAGTGGTAATTTTTCTAAATGTTTGTTTATGGCGACATAGTTTACGCTCAAACCTTCATTTGCCAGCTAGTATGGCCCTAGTTTCTTTTCGTAGACGACTGTTTCGTAAAAATTTGGGCAACTTGTGATAATTTTTTGGGCAAATGGTTTACATCCCCCTCTAGCAAAAAATTGCCCGTACGCCTATGCATTAACCTGACTCTCTCCTTGTAAAGAACTAAGCGTCACTCATTTAATTTTGTTTTAGTACGCAATATTGACAACGCGATGTAACGAACTTTGTAAGATCGCGCGCGCTTTAAATTCAACGGCGATTTCAAAATATGTAACACTGAAAATGACGGATTTACCGTCGAAACATGTCTGGAAAATTAAAGAAAGTTGTTATGTTTATACGACTATCTATATTGTTACTGCTATCGAGACCTTTTGGACCTATCACAAAAGTTTGTAAGAAAGTCAATACTTACTTTTCTACTTTTTTTTACGTTTCATTTTATCCTTCTATAAGTGACAGTTCTGCCAAGTGAATGCAATTCATATACAACTTTCAAATAACTTTTAATAGGTGTTGTGTTTTAGTTTTATCTGTAGTTTAAATTTTATTTTTCTTTGTTTGTGGGTATAATATATCTTAGTCAATTACTTTGAGGCAAAGTAAAAGAAATTAAACCAATGATAAAGTGAACCACAACAGATCTGCAAAGCATCTGAGTTTATGTATAGTAAGTTTCTATAACCAACCAACATGGCTTCGACTAAATGTTAATTAACTACAGTAAAAACCCGCATATAAGAACCTAGATTTTTCCAACAGGGCCTAAATAGGTTCTTATAGAAATGGTATTTAGTGGGATTTTAGACTACTTAGGTTCTTAAATATGTTCATAATTTGACTACAGGGCATATTTGTGTAATATGGAATATATTCTGTATGAAATAATTATCTAGAATACGATTTAGATGATGATAGCCATACAGTAAATCTATCTTTCCAAAGAACTAGCATGCATATCTTTCATGCTGCAGTGTCCATAAAATTTTCAAACTTAAAACATTTCATTTTAGTTCATTCTCTGAATCTTACAGACTGAAACCTAGACTAAAATTTTTTTTCTGTATTTTCATCTGTGCCGTCATTTTTGTAAAATAAGAACCAATTGAAAATTTTAGGCTATATAAATAGGTTCTTATAAAAGGGGGTTTAAAATGAAAATTTTAGCCTAACCGGTTCTTAAATTTTAGGTTCTTATGCGCGGGTTTTTACTGTATCTTTTATTTCACCTATTGTCAATATAATCCACCAGCTTAGCTTAGAATAAAAAGAGTAAATAAACGGAATAAATAATTATTATCTAAAATGTAGATTTTGCTAGGATAAAACCATTGGCTGTTCTTCCTCTATTAGACTAGATGCTCGTTTATTTAACAATTATTCCACGAGGGCGACAGCTGTCGAAATTACTGTGAATTTGTATTTTCGATGCAGTTATAAAAGTAAGAACAACGGAGAAAAACTATTACCTCGGTCGCTTGTTATGAACTTGTTTGAAGCCACAAGCTGGTTTTGCTGAACGAGAAAAAAAGCTATACTGACGCCTCAATTTCTCTAGTCAAATAGCTGCATAGCCTGTATTTGTGGCTGGTTACTTGTGATTTATATTCTTGATAAACAAGCCGCAGTTGGCGAGTGAATCGATCAGCGAATGGCTTCGCGATCATGAAGAAACAACACTTGTCTTCTTTCGTAGCTGGTCAAGGTACTTTAGTTCTATGTGTTTTCATGTGTTTTTCGACAAACTTTCAAACAAGCTCTTGCGGCTTTTTTGTTTGTTTTTGTCTTTTTTCTTTCGATGAAATTGGATATCTAGTATTCTAAGAAATGAATTAAAACAATTTGCTTCGGGCGCCGTTCCATCCTTCGAGAAAAAAGATCTCAGCTAGCTTCCAATTTTAAACTGACGCGTACACCGACCATATGTGGAGGGCATGGTATAATAGCTCATATACCATAACGGCTAAGCCAATCAAAATGCTAGAATTGCATTATCCAATGATTCAGTTTTTAATAATACATATTACACGCAACGTTGAAGAGTCTGCTAAAAGAACTGATCTGAAATATAATACCGTAAAATTCTGAAAATAAGCCCCTCCATAAAGCCCCTTCAAATAGAGGGCCCCCAAACTCGTAACGCAAAAAGCCCTCCATTAAATCGCTCCTCCAAATATAAGCTCCCCCGAGGGGCTTGTACTTGGAAACTGCCCTCAAATAAAATAAAGCAAAAAGGGTAAATTTCCTTCCAACTACAAGGCTAGCCCAGTCGATTTTGAAACGTAAATTTTCGCAAGCAAATAAGCCCCTCCAAAAATACGCCCCTCAAAAAGGGCCTTTGAAAAGTATAAGCCCGGGGGTTTTAGTTTCGGAATTTTACGGTATACTAACTGAATAGATGATAACCTCGAATACGCAGAACTCTAACATCCTCCACTATCAACAGCAATGTTTTGACAATATGTTTCGCAGTATTTCCATAACAGCGTGTCGAATAGGTCTCATCTTCCACGCGTAGATGAGCGGATTCAGTGAAGAATTCAGATGGACTAGGGTCTGAGTATAGATGATTAGAATTTCCTCTGAATCACTTATTTCACGACCAGATACCCTGTTTGCAATATTAATAGAATAATGTGGGAGATTACATAACAAAAAGACGATATATACATAAAATGTAGCGATCGCAGATTTTCTCTGCCTTGCTGTGTTCTGCGAAGTGCTGTCAACGTTTTGTGATGCTTGTTGCACTTGCAGTGTATGAATTTGGCTTGTGAGATGACGCACTGTTAAGTAAACCTTGCAATAAAAAAATGTTGTAGAAATAAAACAGAGAATAACAATCGCAAGGAGAGTAGCTTGAGCAGCCGTTATCATTTTGTCCCAGAGATCAAATAGAGAAACAGTTGCACTGAACACCCAGATCATGATGACCGCAGTGACAATACGTCTCGGAGTTACAAGTTCCTGGTACCTAAGATGAAGGTGAATGGCCAAGAATCTGTCGGCGCCTAAAGCTGTTATATTTAAAAATGAGGCTGCGGTAAAACAAATCCCAAACACCTCAGATGTCTTCTCAAACTGGAAAGTATCAGTGTTTTGAGTTATTAGCGTTGCTATGGCTAGCGGTTGCACAATTAATCCAACAGCAAGATCAGAAGCAGCAAGAGTCAATAGTAATATTCGCACAGGCTTTGGCAACGAAGAAACTTTTCTCAACGCGTGTATGGTTATAATGTTCAGCGTGACTGCAGCATAAGCAGAGAAAATGTTTAAAATGACTACGATCAATGTCGATGAAATTTCCTCAGCGTTTGCCATTGACTAAATTGTAGAAATATGTCAGTTCCTTTGGTACTGTTGATAGTTAATGTTAGTGGACGAAATCATGGATTTAAAGTCATTCCTCGATCAAACTTCGCCTACCGTTACGCTTCCTTCCCTAACTGAACACGTACCGTTCACTCGCTTGCAACAAGAGAAGAGCTAATCTTATCATGATCAATAAAGACTGTTAACTATTATTTCTCTCGTTCTGTCATTTTTGACAGCAGGTGTGTCACAGACTCTTTTGAAGTGCAAACTAATTTGAATATAAGAATTAATTGGAAAGCCTTGAGGCAGTGGATACGTCTATTTAGAAGCATGAGATGAAATTTTTTACTAACATCTCTTAAAGGTCTATTGGCCCTCGTTCAATTTCTGTTTTGTGCTCATACAAGTCATTTTTAAGTGTGAAACGAGTAATTTTCGGCTGGAAACTCCCCGGCGGTTAAAATAACTATCTGAAAAAAAAAATTAATTATGACGGCAATGAAATGAAAGTTGTCAGACGATTAGTTCGTACTTGGAAGAAATTGCATTTGAACTCCGATCCAGCTTTCAATTAAAGAAGTCATCGAAGTTGGAGCGTAAATTGTCGGGAAAGTAGATTCAGATTCAGCTCTTCCGATGACTCAGACCGCATGCGGCAGACTAGGGTTCTGTAATGCTGATAGATATCTCCAGTATAGTTAAACATTTTATTATAATTATTATTATTATTATTATTATTATTTGATGGCTTTCATCAATCTTCTGAGTGAAACAAAACAATGATAAGCCCTCTCTTAGTTAGCTTTACTTTAGAAAGAAGAAAAATTAAAAGAAGAGCTATCAAAATTTAATAAAAAGCTTGGGCAGCTAAAAAAAAAACATTAAAAATTGCTTCAACTCAAAGGGATTTTTTTTAAAGTTACCTCCAGAGTAAACTTTGAGTCCATTCCGCAAAAACTTTTTGCGGAATGGACTCAAATTTAAAACACTTCCTGTCATGATTAAACAGATTACTATGCAAAGCCGTCCCCTTTTTTTTTTGGTAAAAGGAAATTGAAATATATATATATATATATATATATATATATATAGAAAGAGGGAGAGAGGGAGAGAGAGAGGGAGAGAGAGAGATTGGGAGAGAGATAGAGAAAGGATATTACATGGCCGCGCGGAGATAAGAAATTTCTCTTCGAGTGCTGAAAAATATTTCACGAGTGAGCGCAGCGAACGAGTGAAATATTTTTTCAACACGAACACCAATGAAAAACCAGTCCATTACACTTTAATAGTTTTTTGGTTTGAAAGGCGCGATTTATTATGTAGCTATAGCAAAGGTGATATTTTCACATGTGAAGATAACATGTTATTTTCACATGTGAAGATATCAAGTGTTTTGGTGTTTATATAATAAATATATATGTTCAATTTCCTTTTCCCAAGAACAGGTGACCACTTTGCATAATAATCCGTTTAATCATGACAGGAAGTGTTCCGTTCTCCACCTAATATGGATTGCGAAAACAGACCTTAAGTGGACACTTTCACTGGTTATTGTACTGAATTATTTAATACATGATTAATGTCGGAATATCGCCTTTGTGGGATCAGAGTTTGACTTACGTTTGTCCTTTCTAAGCGGCAAAAAAAAAGATTTTAGTCCTGCATTAATAATTTCAAAGGGATTTCTCAAAAACAGACACAGATTTAAAGTTTAAACCTTATCTTTTGTAGCTGTCTTTCCTTCTTCAATAATTCACTAGTTCATGAATTTCGCTGTTTACAGGTACTTTGCATATTTAGCATTCATTGGCCTGATTATCCCCTTCCGGCCTTAGGTATAGTGGACAACGGAAGATTGAGCATGGCTCTCTGATTGCTAGACAGCCTATAAGGGACAGCCAAAGGCATCATCCTCTGATGTATAAAGCTCCAATCAGTTTATCTAGAGTAGTCTCAACCTGTTTTGTGAATCTATTTTGTTTGAATCTATGTCGACGCCCCCTAGACCTATAAGAGTGTTTGCATCAAGCGCCACACTAGTCGGCCATTGACCAGCTTTCTCGATCGAATGTGTTGTTGATTCTTTTATCGATGTTTGCCCCAATTCTGTTTGTTATTGCCGTTTCTGTTGTTTCTAGTGCATTGTCATTATTGTATGTATCAGTATTATTATTTTTTTCTGGACCTTGTAGTGGAGCTTGCTCTATGAGTTATTTTATTATCCAGGCCTCGGCTTGACGAATCTTGTAAATAAACAAATAAGTAAATAAATATTTTGTCTTTCCCACACAGTCGCAGTTTAATTTCTTCATCTCTGGCTTTTGCGACATTTTTTAAAATAACCTTTTTTTAGGTATTGTTATCAGATTTGAGAACCAATCTTTGAGCTAATCTGAATTCAATGGGTTCTCTGCAACGCACATTCTTTTTGTTTTAATGTAATTTACCCTTGATTTTTCAGCTGATTTTAAGAAAACGCCCCAAGGATTTTTTAAATTCCTAGTGCGATTTTGACATTCAAGGCATTAACTGGGCAGTCTCCTGTTTATATCTCCGAACTAATTCGCGTTACCAGCCAACTAAAACCTTACGGTCTACTAGCTGTCTGGTGGGTTGCTAACTGTTCTGCTTAATGGTCCTTATAGATCATATGGGATAGATCTTTGACTGTTGCCTCTGCCAAGTTATGGAACTCGCCTCTTACATTTACGCACTGAGCTGTTAAACTGTTAGCACTTTTAAGTCACACTGTTAAAATCAGTGTAGACATTAGAAGCTCACGACAGGGTTAAGAAGTGATTTAACATCATGCCTAGGCTACCGTCTTCCTAAAATTATAATTATAGTTTTTTGGGTCTTTAATCTCGAATGATTCATAACTTAAAGGTTTTGTTGCGATCAATGATAGCTGATTTTTGAATAAGGTGACATTACATGCAAATCCTTAGCAATACCCTAAATCAGGTGCGTAGTTTATGACAACGGTAAATCATATACAATATGAGGAGCAAAGAAGACGAATTATGCGGAGAGGCTTGGTGCTAATGGATCGCATAGATTGATATGAACGAGGAACGCTCAGCAGAGCATGCGGCCAGCGGTGTTAATTTTAAGGGGCTGATTACATAACGCTATCGGTTAGGTTAATATATAAGTGATTATCATTCGATACAAATTTTTAAATGACTGTCTGCTCATGCGCAATGTTTTCCAACTGTTTTTGGCTGCAAATAACATTCTCCTCATGCGTAAATGAAACCCACGCATTTTTCCTTCTTGCGATCGCTCTGCGGCTGATGGCTTCGCTTCCCGAAGATATTGATGAAAGAAGCAAACTCGAAACAGTTATTGGACGACGTTGAGCAAAATATGGTAACTTTTCAGTGGCTCGCAGATCAGTAAGGCAAAGAAAGAACTTTGTTTAAAATGCTTTGTTTTACTAAGTAAGTAAAGAAGAACATGAACTAAGTAATAATAATAATGATAATAATAATAATAATAATAATAATAATAATAATAAAATCATTATTACTTTTAAATATGCAAAAGCTAGAGAAATTTTATTTTGCGTTGTTATTACCCCATGCAAGGGAATCCGGATTCCAGAATCTGGGAAATTTTTTGCTAGGGGAGAATACACCTCAAGAAGTTCGGAATCTAATTAACGTTGGGAATTCAGAATCCAAGTTCCACTGACAAAGATTGGAGTCCAGTGCCTGGAATCCGGAATCCACGGCGTGGAATCCAGAATCCAAGACTGTCTTGGATTCCCTTATACATGGGGCAAATATTGCAAGACAAAAGAACTTGTATCCCCTCTTGTATTGAAACCACGTGTATCAGTTTATCACTGACTGTCCAAAGCTGATGAAGCACAAGAACGATTTACCGAGCAAACAAAAAACTGATATGTTCGCAGCCTGTTCATGATAGTGTGCCGAAAATGTCTCATCTTCCAGCAGTAAATTAGAGAAGAAGAAGAGAGAAGAAGTAAGGAAAACCAATGTGGTAAGATATATTTTAACCACCGCTTTACAGAATTGCCGGAGGCTATGGTGACCGCAAGTGTGCAAAGTCGGGGTAAAAAACAATTCAGAAACGCGAGATGTAAAATAAATGTTCCGGATGCAAATTTTCGAATTCTTGCTATTTCACAATTTTTATCCCGTTTGTGCTCCACTCTGAAACGGTTGAATTTGATTATGAAGACGTCGCATTACCACGAAAATCTTATAATTCAGTAATGCCGTAGTTAAAAGACAAAAGACAACTATTACAGCTAAAACGTTTTCAATACCGTTGGAAATAAACCGTTTAGCTAGTGAAAGTAACTTACTTAAAACCCAAAACGAAATCACCACGGTAACAACTCGCTTGTGAGTCATAAGTTCCTTGTATCTGAGATGAAGATTAATGGCTAAAAATCTGTCTGCACTAAGGGCTGTTACACAAAAGAACGATGACAAAATAAACCAATAAACCATAAACTTCACAAGTGCTGCCGAAAGATGCTTTACTTTGCAACAAGTGCTCAACAAGGGATGCTGTGTAAATTGGCTGGACCAATAAACCGACACCAAGATCTGAGAGAGCCAGGCTCATGGGCAATGTTTTTAGACGTATTGGAATCGACGCAGTCTTTCTTAGCGCATGTATTGTTGTAATGTTTAACGCGTTGGCAGTGTATGCGAAAAAGACATTGGCCGCATTTATACTTGAAGACGTGCTGAAACATCCAGGGACATAAACGTCTGACTGTTAAGTGCATCGTTAAGTGAGTCCCGTTTTTATACTAGACGTCTTAAACGTCTGAGACGACTAATTCATCTGTTAAGTGCGTCGATCGGACGCACTTAACTTCAGACGTTTAATTCGTCTGACGTTTAATGCGTCTGCCTTATTTCCCGTATTTATACTAGACGTCTAAGACGTACGTGTTAAACGTCTTAGACCTCCTCTAGTATAAATACGGCTATTGAAGATGCAGTTAACGACCAATGAAGAATGTGATATGTAGTCTGTGTCGACCATTGTATACGAACATAACTAGATCAATTTTCCCACGCTCTTTCAGCTCTTAAAGAAATTTGAAAGCTCCACGACTGCGAAAAAAGAAGTGTTTTGCCAACTATTTTTTAAAGTTAACTTAAAAGTTGTTGTGTAAGCCTTAACCAGGCATTTTTTCGCAGCATTTAACTAAACTTAAAAATTTCTAGACTGAAATGACCACTAACTTACTGCCCGGCGTCAGATAAAGGCTTTAATCGGCCTTTGAATAATTTTTTATTGCTTTTTTTAATGCCAAGCAGTAGAATGAGTCGATTTTTTTGCTAACCCGGTTTTCAAAAATCCAGGTATGTAATGGTAACAGGATCGGACTGAGTGGAGTCCAACTCGGTCTGTAATCATACGAGTGATGAACAAAATCGGACGACCGCGTAGCAGGAGTCCGATTTGTTTAATCACGAGTATGATTACAGACCCAATCGGACGACACGAAGTTCTGTTACCAATTAATCATAAAATTTGTGATATAATAGGCTATTTTTTAAATGAAAACACAAGAAATTCGAAATTTTGTTTTGCTAGCAGTGAAAAAAAAAGCCATTTAAGCGCGCGCGCGTGATGGCGATACTGTCCAATTACTTAGGCATGACGCGTACTGTCCTATTAAACTGTCCAATTAAGGCTGAAATCAGGGCAGTTGAAAGCCAATCAGATTTTACAATTTTGTTATAGTTATGATTAATATATTTATTCATTTATTTATTTATCTCATTATAATTAATTATCTTATTTGGTATACATGGTGAGCACCCATGTCCAGAAAGACTTCACAATCTCTCTGTTCATTTCAAACGGCGTATATCTACCGCTCAGTTTTCAAATCCAGCAGATATATCGTCACAACGGAGAAATTCCTTGCCTTGATATCTTCAATAGACCTTATTCACGTATTGGTGTCTCAGGAGGGCAAAGAAGTGATAAAATGTGATGGTACAAGGAATCGCGGGCAAGTTTGTTTGTTTTAAACAACAGAAAATGAAAAACTTTTTTAGATGGCAAATTTTGGGTAGAAGAGATCATTGTACTGTAGAAATCCTCATAGAAAGTAATACTGTGGTAAAACTTGTCCAAACTCGAGCCGTACATTTTGCATGAAATTAAATACCACGTGACATTGCTTTTATCCCAGCATTCCTAAAGCACGTCCAAAGACGGCGGTTCTCTTGAATAAGGTCGTTTGTTGCAAAAAACACAGGTCTGCAATGCGTGCAAGAATTACAGCCAAAGAATCTAAATTTTCAAAGATACCTGTAACGGTATACTTGTCGGTGTAGGCTGCTTTCCCTGCTATTTATCACAAGAAATTCGATAACTTGCCCTTTAAACAAATCAAGAGACTTGCTCAATCAATAACCAAAATTACTACCTGAAAACACAAGATAAAATAGTTTATATTTTTATTTTGACTGCATCCCTTGAAAGTGAAAATGTTACTGTGGCCAATTTATGCATTTTTTTCCAATTTTTTTTTAAATGCTCTCCAGTTTCTGGAATGAAAAGAATATTTTATTTAGATATTATATTGTAGATTTCAGACTGATTGCTTGATATAGCGTGGTAAAAGCGTTCTTTATTGTGGTTATCAGCACTTAGCTTTTAAAGTTAAAATTTTATCCTGCTTTACCTTCTTCACTCTTCTGCCTCTTGAATTCCCACCTCTTAATCAATCGCTTTTCGCCTTCCTTTGCTATTGTGAGAAGCATTATTGGTCATTAGTTTTTTTGACCTTTCTTCAAGTTTCTTAATGGAGTTTGAAACAATGATTTTTCATTTAGCGGCATGTTGTTCAAAAGAGGAAATTTATTAAAAGCCAGGCTTTCACTGAATTTAACCGCTGAGATTTTAAGCTTAAACGAAAATGCGCTCTAGCGAGTCACCGGCAATATTGCCCTCAACACCAGAGTCCCAAACTGTTACGCTCTTCAATTGCATCTGTCAAACATTTTGGTTGTTTAATGTTAAAATTAAAATTCTTTGAGATCACACTGTTACCAGAATGTCGTCGTTGCTGTTGTTGTTGTTGTTTTTGGATGACATTTTTAAACGTTCCTTGTCATCATAATCTATTTTACTATTATCCCCTTTTCTTACAAGATGAAAATTCAACGGTTTCATATATGACACTGATTGGTGTAAGCCTTGTATTTTGTTGACTTCTTAATTCTACAAACTGTTAGCTCATCCGACAGCTGAAGTTTTAGTCCTTCTCTGAAACTCGTTGTGTTATGACTAAATGCAAAAAAAAAAAAGAAAAGAAATATAAAAACACCAGCAAAAGGATTATTATCCCAAAACAGAAAAAAGTCCAGTGAACTACAGGTTAATAAATCTGCAAGGCATTAAAAACAAAAAAAGCAAATTTTATTTCAGTGATCTCAACTTGATTATTAAAACTTTTTCATACTACATAACAACTCAATTTACAATCACTCCAATCAAATTGAAAGGAAAGAGCAAAATTGACCAGTTGCCGCCGAAAAGAATTGTACAGTATCTAGTTACATAACTTATTTAGATTCGTTGAGTTCTTAAGTTTTCAATATGAACAGTTTCGTTGACATATTAAATTCTGCAAGCAGAATACTGCAATGCTGATCGTACTACGTAAAAATTAACTCTGCAAAACATCAACACAACACCGAAAGAACTCAAATCAGAGCGGGATTGTAGCCATAGACAGCTGTTTCGCCTTTTTTGGGGCTCGTCAGTATGGCGCAACAACCAGAGAAAACTCTGATGAAAAATATCCACGCACTCTGATTTAAAGTTTCGTTGAATTAATCTGTCTGAATGCCAGAAAACAGTGGGTTGTAATTTGTCCAAGAAAACGTGAGGCTCAGAAGCCGTTGAAATTGCGAGCGCCATATTCTATATTTCCACCCTGTATACTATTTCGGCCTGACTTGTCATTCGTTGAAAATGTTAAAGTGAAAAGTCTTCAATATGAGATAAACTTTGTTGTTTTGTTTCTCTTTCTACAGCGGACCTCATTGGAGACGCAAGAGAATGTAAGAATTCAACTTATATTATCTATTCTACTCCTGCTGGAGTGTTTTCAGGCCGTAAGTGTAAAATTTCAAAAAATGCTCGCTGCATCTTTTTTACTCGCCAACAAGAAATAATAGGGTTTAAGAAAGATTTACAGAGCGAAAATGTTACAGCCCATTTCCAAAGAATGCTCCTAACATTCGGCTCTATGCTAGCGCTATCTGAAAAGGAAGAAAGCATGAGTATTAGCGAAGGAGCATTAGTTAAGACTAATACCAACAAAGTGAATGCAAGGGTGTTGGCTGCGCGACTATCTCTTCGTACTCTTTTTGCATCTTCATATGTAACTTGTTCGTGTTGAATGCGCTTTTTATGACGTCTTGTCTGAAAGAATATGTATGCACTTGTATAACATATAACAGCAATGTAGGAAATCCCTATGATTGTATATACTGCATTGACCACTAGCAAACTGGTCAAGAAAATCTCGGTCTTAGTGTCTACTAGAGTTAGGGTAGTTTCCAGAATCGTGACAAGACCTGCAAAGGCCCAAGCCAAAAGTATTCCGTTTTTCAACCATTTTCTTGTCACAATATCCTTATACCTCAAGGAATACTTGCTCGCAATGTAACGCTCCACGCTGATCAACGCGAGGTGATCGATGGAAGCAAAACCGATCCCTGCCAGGGTTACTGAATATATCTTCTCTAAAGTGCAGAATGGACTAGCACTGAGGATTTTCGACACCTCCAGGGCTACCGCCATGGGCTGCACAATCAGCCCTGTTAGAAGATCTGTTCCTGCCATACAGGCCAGAAGAATATTGTTATTAATTTGGAGTGGACGCTTGATCGACACGGCAAATATGACCAAGGAGTTTAAGAAAACAGTCGGAACCACTGCAATTGAAATTACGATCGTCACAGCTACTTCGTTTCTGTACAAGTCTTCAGTGAAATTTTCCTTTTCTTCAGTTTCACCTTGATCACGCGGGTAATTGCAATGTGCCATGCCTTGATCGAAAGACGTTGAAAGTGAAGATTCGTTCTTCGTTGTGTGATTTGGAGGAAGGTCGCGGATACGAAGTTGCAGTAGCCACAGCTGCAAACTTTATACAATCCGGTCACTTGATTATTCATAACTTCCAGTTTTATTCCTATTAAGCGCAAAACCTTAGAGTGAAGAAGCCGAGGTGTAAGAAAAAAAAACCTCTTGAAGGACTCTTCTAGTTAGTGTTCACAATATCCATTAAATACTTAATAAACTGCTTTCTTAATACATTTCCGACCACATCGGAAATGGGCGCATTAGTAAATACAGCTTGATCTACGAGCTAACATTGCAAGACAAAAATTAAAGTGTAACCAGAAAGACAGCAAAGTTTTTTCCGTACATTCTCTTACTTGGTCGCAATGAAACAATCCCAGTGGCTCCACTAGAACCAGAATGAGAGTACTAATTAAGAAAAATAAATAAATAAATAAATAGAAAAGAAAAAGTGCTCCAAAGTGAAATGAAAGAAGCGTCGGGCGTCGGCGAGAGTGGTTCGACTGGTAGTACCTAAATTTTCCGATCATTCTTGTTGGAAAGGAAAAGGATGATGGTGTGTGAGGATTTTCATCTTTTCCAGGTGAAAATTTTTTACCAAAATGAGTTGTAGAATTTGAGATTTCAACCCAACAGTTCTTTTTCTTTTCGTGCAAATGATAAACGCCACACCCCTTGATGCACTTGTGCGTGAAAATCTGTTGGATATATAAAGATCTCACACCAGTACTACTAAATTGAAGTACCTCTTGAATTCGCAATGTTCCGGCACTGGAGTGATTTCTTTATCGTCTTCAAAGATCATCTGCTGAAAGACAGCCCAACATCATATAAATAAGCATCAAAAGGCTAAGTTGAATGAGGAGTGGTTCGTTTACACCAAACAGACAAGGAGAAAAATAGCCAACTCGAGTTTTCATCTCGCTAAGAGTCCAGCGCGTTCCACGCGCGATGCAAAGTCGGACAAAATTAGGAGCCTCGCCTTGCACTGAACATCACATTTCTACTACGGGTAGTTATCTACCAGCGAGGATACACAGTATCGCAAAAAATAATAATAATTCAAAACTGTTTGCTGAGGCGTGAAAACAGGAAAAAAACAACTCATTTCTTTTCGTGTCTTTTTCTAAGCGGGGTGATGAAAAACAAGCAAGGACTTTTCCTCAACAATAAAAACTAACTAGTTTTTGCCCATTTTCGTGTACCTTACCAATGCCATGCTAGATACACTATCCCCCGTCCCAACGTGAATGCTATTATCTTATTTTCTAACTGCTGATATCTAGTAGGCATTGGCTTCTTTCCTGTCCGCAAAACAATGTCCAGTAACACAAAGGTTGTCCCGGCAACATCAGCAACAAAAGCTCGTCGCGGATTACCTTGAGAAATATCAGATAACGTTCACACAGTGGCGAATCCAGGGGAGGGGCCAAACAACCTCGTCCCCAGGGCTTTTCCCGAAAAGCCCTGGGGACGAGGTTGGGGGCCAAACTGACGCCCGGCACCCCTAAAAAGTTTTTTGAGACAGGACCCCCCTCCCCTTTTCTCAGGGTCTGGATGACCGCCTCCGATTTTGTGTCTCTCAATCTTAGATTACATCTATTTACAATCTCCTTTTATCTGGTAAGATTGTAACTGACGGCCATTTTGGTTTCAAATGTACCAAGAGGGCCAACTTCCTACGTTATAGTAAGCCCCCGATGACGCCAATCTTACGGAAAAATATGAGAGAAATGATGTAAACAGGGTATAACCCTTCTGGGGCTTCCAGCCAAATTAAACACCCTGTTAACCTGATCATTGCGGATCACGTTCATGGTTGGCCGGGGGACGTATGTCAAAGCCCATAGAATGTTTGGTGACGGCTACTTGTGTCAGGCTTTGTGGGGCAGGAACGCGTTACGAACCTCTAAGAACGACTGCGTGGGAGGCTACTGACTCCCTGAGTCAACTATGTGTGTCCTGTGGGTTTTCAGTTTCATGCATCTGAGAAATTTTGGTAGTCACGTAACCGTACGCCCGTTCGTCCGCACCACAGGATAACCAAGTGAATTTACTTTGTGGGGAGCCTGCAACCTGTGTTTAACTTGATGATAGACGTCCATGTTATGGTCATCTTGGCCACCCGGACTTTTAGAGAGAAAAAACGACAACAAAACTGAGTCGTTTTTTCGACTAACTTTTCATGTCTACGTTGACGTGGATAACAGAAAAATAGCTTTTTAAAGTCCTAACTGGAGTCCTTGCTCGAGTCCAGGCTCGAGTCTTGGCTCGAATCCTGGCTTTGATGTTAGTTTATCTCCTTCGCTTTTAGTCCTGGCTAAATCTATACATTAATTCATAAAGAAAAAACAAAAGAACTTTTATATCTTACAAAGAGATTAAAACAAAAAACAAAAAACAAAGGAGACAAAATTTCGTTGGAAGAACAACATGAAAATTTTATAGCGGTGATGAGAAAATGAGAAATGCTAACGGTCAGTAAGGTAAGAACGAAGGCGAAAGAAAAAAGAAAGCGAACAGGAACACAAGCAACATACGACACTGATTTTCCTCCATAAAACGCGTAACTAGAAAGTTTCACGTTGTACTCGCGCAACAACAACGGCAAAGAAGTGTACAAAAAAGGTGTTCTGCACTTGCCAAGTTGTTTTTTTTCCTAATTAGACTTAATGCCGTTCTCGTTGCCGTCGCCTTTAAGAATTAAACAATTTAATTTTTGTTTGTTAAGGAGGAAGTTTAAGTATAGCAGAGGGATTGGCTTTGAGGATGCCTATATACCGAGCCAGGACTTCGAGCCAGGACTCGACGCCCGACTCGACAATTTTTCGCTTTCCCGCCATTTTCACCTCCTGCAAGTCGCATGACCATTAAGAGGAGAGTTAGGGTTAGAGGTTAGGGTTAGGGTTAGGGTCAGGATTACGGTAAGGTTAGAGGGTTAGGGTTAGGTAAGGGTTAATGATAAATTTTAACCTAAAAACAGTTGTATGAAGGCGAGTTCGTTTCGCTATTTATGGAACGACTTATGTTTTGAAAGTTAAGATTAAGATTTGCTCGAGCCATTCCATATGGTTAACAATGATTTTGGCCGGCTCTCAGTCATTTTGCTTTTTTTTTTAATATGCTTCCTCGCTATCATTTCCAAAAACTTGGGTATGCATCTCTATTGACACTCTTTTAGCTGTAAATACTTTCCCCGTTGACCAATGAGCGGATTATGATAATGAAATTCAGTGTTTGATTGTCACAAGTCAACTAACGTTTCCTTGATTTAATTCTATACGACTAAGAGAGTCTATAGGCCCATGCACCTTTTCTCGAGAATTACATAAACTTTAAACCATCATGGCCCCTAAATCAATTGCAGGTTATACCAGTTGTCAAACCATTGTGTTTGTAGGAGATGCTTAAAACTGTAGTTTGCAATATTAACTCTATAACAGTTTTCTCCTGCCGCAAAGGCAACAGGTGCACTGAATTTTTTTTTTCTATTAGAATAACGATCGGTTTTTGTCAGTATTGTCACACTACTCTTTTATTTTGCTTTAGTTTTGAGATACAACAAATTAACCAGTGAGAAACAGCGTGAAAGAAATTGTCATGAAGCATCAGGAACAGGTCAGAAACTTTGAGTTTTCTTTGAAATTTGAGTTAATTGCACAAAGTGGCCTCATGGGGCAGGATAGTTTATGCTTTCTTTATGGCAACCTAGTAAGTAATATTCAGCCATGTTCAGAGGGAGTAGTTTTAAGACATCGCAGCCGATATACTGAAGTGTTAGACGTGTGTGTGTTTACCCTTCGTAATTTAATTACTCAAAGGGTAACAAATGCTTGGTTATTGTTGAATATAATACCTAGGGATTTATAGTGTTTTGTCTGTTTATAAGAAAGACCTCTTCCTTAGGAAATTTGGTGTCCCATCGATTTAATTTAGTTGTCACGTGACCGTCTGTTTGTACTTCTCGCAGCACAAATCAATGTGAAATAGCATGCTGAAGACAACCCTAAGCTATGCTGTATTCCACGTTTTGAGAGGCATCTCAGAATCTCAACTCCGATTTTGGGAAAAAGAAAACTAAAGAAAAAAACACACAAACAAACAAGCAACTTTAACAAAAGACCAAACGAAAAACATGTTTGAGCCTGCGCTTTTCTTTTTATTAGTACAGTGAAACTGTGCGTAAATACAATTTAGCACTTTTATCGATATTGCTTGTTTACTTTTTATGCGTTTTCTAAAAGTTCCAAGCTCTTGACTATCACCTGCTTTACTTGGAAATTCTCCGATGGCGTTTTTCCGCTATCTCAACATTTCGATGAAATAATTTTTGTTCTTGTGCTGGCACTACATGACACTAATTTTTGAGATCGTTTGGCAAAGGTTTGAAGTAAAAGGCGTTGGTCAATTCATAATTAACGCCTTTTGAAGCTCTTGACACGATAAAGTAGTCCGCGAGATCGCAAGCATAGTACCTTAAAACTGAAGCATCCGTCCTGCTAGACAAGAGTCACTGTAGCGTCATGTTTGAGTCGCTTGACCAATACCTATTCAAGCTAAAGTTTTAAATTAAATTCTTATTTGTTATTGTATTTCTAAACTCGAATAACAGGCCATTTTAACGTTTTCTTTTTTAAGTAATACAGCTGCGAAACTTGAAGAAAACAGTTACAATTGCAACATTAAGCATCGATTTTTATGCAGGAGAGATATATTAGTGAAACTTGCTGCCAGTGTAGTATGCTGAAAATATTTTTACGTGCTCAGAATATTACAGAAAAGATATCAATTAAAAATAAATTTCTTGTTTCTCTTGTGTCTCAGTACGGTTACCTAGCTAATAAAAAAAATGCTCTCACAGATGGATTTGAAATTAGTTTTATTTATTCATCTGACTGACGTTGATTCATTTTTATTTCAGTTTTCAGTCAACTTAAGGTGGCGCAAACCTATTTATATGCGCGTTGGTTATGTCCTTGAATCGCGTTTTTCGGCAGAAATGATTTAACCGATTTCCATGATTTTTGGCAACCTTAATAATACTAATTGGCGGAGATATGAATGGAAAGATTGGTGCAAGCGATGCTAAGGGGTCAGTCTACCACAAACACACCAACGAGAATGGGCAATTGCTCCTAAACTACATGTTAGAATGCAATCTCAAACCGCTGAACACCAGTTTTAAAAAGCGCGAAGGTAAGCTTTGGACTCATACATCACCATCTGGAGCCAAATGTCAAATAGATTATATCCTAATAAACAACAAATGGAAAAATAGCGCTTTAAACTGTGAAGCTTATAACACCTTCTGTTCTGTGGGATCTGATCACCGTATTGTCACAGCTAAAATAAGACTAAGCCTGCGGCAAAGTAAACCATCTGGTAAGAAAAAGATCAGATACGATTGGAACAAGCTTCTCAATGATAACATCATCAAAGACATGTATACTGTTGAAGTCTACAACCGATACCAAGCTCTACAGGACTTACATGGCAATGAGGATGCAAACCAGATGTATGAGAATATCATGACAGCCCATGAAAAAGCTGCAGAAATCAGTGTACCTGTGAAGGCCAAGATATCGAAGCAACACGTTCCGTGGGAAAATGAAAACATCATAGAAAAAAGGGAAATGGTGAAGAATGCTTATGAGGTATCCATGAGAAGAAATACCAGAAGCAGTGCTGTAAAACTGGAGGAGGCTAAGCAAGAGCTACAGGAATCTTACGATCGAGAACAAGAGAAGTATGTGAATGAAAAGATTCATGCAATTACTGACGCTATACAACACCAAAAATCCGGTCTTGCATGGGAAACGGTAAACGAGTTCACAAGAAGAAAGGGCACAAACAGGGATCGAATAAAAGCCAAAAGTCCTGAAGACCGTGTCAGTAAATGGAAGTTACACTTCTCAAACCTGCTAGGTCAACCACCCAGTGCCACAATAAAACCAACTGCTTCTATAATACATGAACCTCTTCCCATCAACACGGATAACATAACCATGGAAGAACTGGTTAAAAGTATCAAAGGTTTCAAAAATAACAAAGCACATGGTCTCGACAACATACCAATTGAAGTCTGGAAAACTGGTGCCTTAAATCAACAATTGCTTGACATCTGCAACAAAACATTCAATGGTGACCGACCGAATATATGGGTTAAAAGTGGAATAATACCCCTACCAAAGAAAGGTGACTTGGGTGACACAGGAAACTATCGTGGTATATCCTTAACTGTCACAGCTGCGAAAATGTATAACAAGATTTTATTAGATCGAATAAGACCTCATCTGGATCCTCTGCTCAGGGTGAACCAAAATGGATTTCGTACGGGTAGATCTACACTACCGCAAATTTTAACTCTGCGTAGGCTCATAGAGGGAATAAAAGAAAAACAGCTTCCTGCAATATTGACTTTCGTAGACTTCAGTAAAGCCTTTGATTCGATACATCGTGGGAAATTGATGGAGATCTTGAAGGCATATGGAATTCCAACAAAGATAGTGGATGCCATCAGCATACTCTACAAGGACACCGAAGCACAGGTGATAACTCCTGATGGTGATACGGAATTCTTTGAAATTCTTGCGGGAGTTCTGCAAGGAGACACACTCGCACCTTTCCTATTTATCATAGCCTTGGATTATGCCCTTAGAGAAGCTACTAGAGAAACACACACTGGGTTCACTCTTACACCACGGCAGAGCTCCCGTCATGTAGCAACATACATCACCGACACTGATTTCGCGGATGATCTTGCCCTAATTTCTGACTATCTTGAAGAGGCACAACTTCTCTTATTAAGACTGGAGGTTGCTGCGAAAACAGTGGGTCTGTATGTTAACTACAAGAAAACGGAATACATGCTGTACAATCAACCTGTAGGTGATCTTGTCACACTGGCAGGGAACAAATTGAAGCAAGTAGATAACTTCAAATACCTTGGTTCGTGGATACAATCCAGTGAAAAGGACATGAATATAAGAATTGGACAAGCTTGGAGTGCACTCAACAAAATGATGAAAGTGTGGAAATCAAACCTAAAAAATCATCTCAAAATATAGGTTTCTTTCGGGCCACAGTTGAAAGTGTACTGCTTTATGGTGCTGAATGCTGGACGATGACTGGAAAGATGATGAATAGACTAGATGGTACGTACACAAGAATGCTCAGAGCAGTTCTTGGAGTTTCCTGGAAGGAGCATAAAACCAACAAAGAACTGTACGGCAATCTTCCTAAGATTACAGATACACTGATGATCAGGAGGCTGCGGTTTATAGGACTCTGTTGGAGAAAAAAGGATGAGGTGATAAGTGATTTACTATTCTGGGAACCAAAGCACGGCGCAAGAAAGAGAGGAAGACCAGCATTAACATACGTAGACCAGCTGCAAAATGATACTGGTTTGAGCATAGCTGAACTGAAGAACATCATGGAAAACCGGAAGGAATGGATGAAGCTAGTTAATGGAGTTCGAGTTCGCTCGAAATAAGCAAGCAAGCAAGCAATAAAGAATGGTCGAACTTTAAGAAAATGCTATTTATTTTGTTATAGGTAAAAAAAGCGTTTGAGATATCGGCATACGTTTAAAACCGAACTTTTAAAGAAAATGTCAATAATTTCAAAACTGTAAGACAGATTTTTCCCTAACTTCGGCAAATAAGCCTCAGAACTGTCTAGTTTTATATCTGCAAGTTTGAAGTCAATCGTGACCGTAGAACTCGCTGCACAAATAGCTGGTCAAATTTAACCTTAAAGTGCAGCGGTAACACATTTATGAAAGTTGAGTAAACAGAAACATACTGCGAATACAGTTCGCAATACAAGAAGAACAACTTTATGCTGAATGAGGGGCAATATCGAAAAAATCCTATCTATCACACTTACTTTGTATTTGTCCCTCTCTTTTCGAAACCCATCTTAACAAGGCAAATTATATTATCTACGAAAAACTCTGAAGAGTTTTTAGCGTCGCAGGTTTCCCTTCTTGAGGAGAAATAACACGGCACCAACTCCAGTACTTCTAACCGTCCATTTTTCAGCTGCACTGAAAGCCCTTGTACTTGGTAATTTATTCAAGGTTTTTAGACTTTACATCACATTCGCACGGTAAGTTTGCCACTTGGGGATAAAGATGAAGAAAATATGACAATCGTCTTAACTTCTTTCCATTATCCCCAATGCATGGCAAAATGCCCGTGCGAATGTGATGGCAAATCTTTCAAACTTGAATAAATTACCTAATGCGAGGGTTTTCGTTGCAGCTGAAAATGGACCTGTTGGGCATGAAGTACTGGAGTTGGTGGCTTTATTTCTCCTCAAGACGGGGAACCTTCAGTGCTAAAACTGACTGGTAGGAGTTTTCCGTAGATGCTATGTCGTGCTTTGTTGAGATTTTTTTTTCGAAAAGAGAAGGGCAAATACACAGCAACTTTGATAAATAGATGTTATTTAATCTTGCCCCGCATTCAGCACAAAATTGTTCTTCTTGTATTGCGAACTGTATTCGCCATAGGTTTCTGATTACTCAATTTATTGCAACCGAAGCTTTGGGCAAGAAGACCCTTGGAGATAGGAGAGAGTCCGTCGGCAGTTGTCCTCTATTTGTGTGTCAACTTTCACAAATGTATTAGCGTTGTATTTTAAGGTTTAATTTGACCAGCTATTTGGGCAGCGAGTTCTACGATCACGATTGAGTCAGACTTGAAACTTGCAGGTATAAAACTAGACAGTTCTTAGGCTTATTTGCCGAAGTTAGAGAAAAATCTGTCCTAGGGTTTTGAAATTATTAATTTTAAACATATGCTGATATCTCAAATGTTTATACCTATAAAGGCCGGTTTACACGCTACGATTTGTCGGCCCGATCTGTCGGCCCGACAGTGTCGGAGGGCAAATCGTACGTGTATTTTAACACCCGTTCCAAAGGCCCGACTTGAAGAATGTTTTGTAGCCCTCGTTCTTTCTTAAAGCGGTGTTTTTAATCCGCATGCGCACTGAATGTTGCTCACAGGAAAAAAATGGCTGACTATCACAATTTATGGGCGCTTTATTCATCATTAGCAGCAGCAACAACGTCATTGCTGTTACTTGCTGCAGCATTATTAAGAAACAAAAAGAGTCGAAAAAGAAAAACACGATGTGCTTGGGTGAAAAATTGGCATCGAACTGAAGCGTTCTCGCAATCTCTCTTTTATTCTTGTCATGGTAATCTTTACTCCCCTTTCTTATAGACACGGATATTTAAACCATTCACTTATCAGAAGGGAGATTTCTTCCTCTTGGAAACTACGCGACTTTGGCCTCTTCGGAGTCTTCTTGTCCGCCATTTTGATTGCTTCTGATTTATACGCATGCTCTCTGCTCAAAATTTTGATCGACATGTCGGCTTCTTTGAAAGTGTCGGCCCGACTACACAAAAATCTGTTGCACTGCAACAGATTTTCTGAATCGGGCCGATTTTCGTTTTCACGAATCGGCCGTAAATCGGGTGTCAAAATACACGTACGATTTGCGCTCCGACACTGTCGGGCCGACAGATCGGGCCGACAAATCGTAGCGTGTAAACCGGCCTTAAGAAAATAAATAGCATTTTGTTAAATAGCATTTTTGTTAAATAGGATCGGGCCACCTTAAACAAACAAATTTGCAAGTAAGGGAAAGTGCATCATAACTGAAGACACTCACCAACTCATGCTTGTGATGTTTCTTGCACCGCATGAGTACTTTCTGATGAGCCCCACCTTTGTTCATCCAAATGGGACAGCTGGCAGAATGGTATGCAAATTTCTCACAGACGGCCAGCTCGGCTGGGTTGGTGCTGCCTCTTCAGTATTTCCGTTGGTCACAATCGTTGACGAGCGACACTATACAGTTATGTATCCCCCCCGTAACGAAGGTGTGTACTTATAGGTAGCGAAAGGCTGAGTACTTTTGTCGATCACCTCACATTTGCTCAGTCTTTGCTTAACGCATGTTAAGAGCGCGTATTTTTACCGGGTATTCTAGTGTGTCTTTGTTCCCCGTTGCACTGCTTGCCTATTTTACCTAGTATGCTGTTACTACCTAGCTTTTTACTTTTGTCGAAAGAGTTTTTAGCGGAAGGACGACAGTTAGCAATCCAATCGTCTGCTCTTTTTTTAACCTCTTGCTGGACCAGCTTACTCCTCCCCTCTCCCTCTTTTTTGTGTCTGTTTGTTTGTTTGTTTTTTATGTTTTGTTTATTGTTTTCATGCCTTAACATTGTGACATTAATATGTTATGTCATCACTCAGCGATGACCTCTCTCCAAAGGGAAGTTTGATCTACCCCAAGTCTCATGATTCTGGAGATTGAATTATGTATTATTCTACACTTTGTGCATTACAGGTAATAATTCCCAGTTATTGGGTGGTTGCACTGATCATAAACATACCATGTGTAATGATTACGGAAGTTCATGGTACAACAGGAGAATGCCGGGAATTATGGTCTAAGGAATGGGGAAGACTAAAAGCCTATCGTGGCTTTTACTCGTCACTTGCGTTCCTTTAACAGTGATGATCGGTTTATATTCCAGAGTTGTATACAAACTGTGGTTCAAACCTACCATGAATACTAGTAATAGCCCCACATTACGACAAAAGGTGAGACAATATACACAAGATATTTATATAAAAATGCCTTCTTTCAACTTATAATTAAGTTATGCTTCGGATATTGAACCTGTTGAAGTTTTCTAGAGAAAAAGGAGTTCGAAGAATAACATCTATTCTCAAAACATAGCCAAGAAAAGTCTTAATGATGGTAACAGTTTCGATAACTGTCAGCCATCTTTATTAAAACTAGAAAAATCGTCAAAGGTGTCAGAAGGTTTCCAATTATAACTTTCCTTTCGATAAACCCATACATACTTCCCTAACAGAATTTTATTTAATGACCCTTTTTCCTTTTATATTCAGGGTGCACTAAGACTAAGGAAGAGAGTGACCTTGATGGGTAATTGCTGTCAGTTTTATCTTCGGAATTTGCTGGCTCCCTCAATCAACTTTGTATGTCCTGGAGTTTTTCAGTTCCTACAGCCCAAGCGATGAGATCTGCGCAGCTGCTACGATGCTTATTATGTTAAACTCTGCTGTAAATCCATTTGTATATGCTCTGTTAAACCAGCGATTTAAGCAGAAACTTAAGGGATTGGTTAGCTGTGATTTTCATCCAAGAAACAAGGTCAACAATGCAAAGGACACTGTTGTAAGTGTTGGGAAGTAAAGGACGACACAACGAACCGGGAAGGAGAAAAAATAAATGATAACAACGTAATCGTTGAACTTGCACAGACGACACCCTTGCATTGAACTAATGAACCATTTCCGAGTAGCCCCACGGGCCCTGTAAGGGAGGTGCAAGTGCGAATTTGGCGGGAAATACGATGGTTTGGCCACTGCCCTAATTCAACAAGCCGGCTGACAAATAATTTTCTTGCAAGATAACGATTTATTAACAACTTGGGACAGCAAAAACAAAAAATATCTGACTTAGTTAACGTCTTGTTTATTGAACATCTAAACTTAAATGTGTATTTTCAAGGAGATTATAACTGCCGTTATGTTCTTCTGTATTTATCTTTCATAAATGTACCATACATCGCCGATAATCAGATCTCAATAACAACAACGACCACTTAGTTCGTGAGCACAAGATAGTCTGCTTACATTTGAATTTCCTAAGATTGTGGTTGATGTTTTGTTGTTGTCAGACTAGAATTCGTACGTAATAGGGGTTTTATAACCCTGCGCGGTTTTTTTTTTACTCCAGCCAGGCAGGATCTCATCTAAAGTATAATGACAAATGTACCAAATCCATACTATACTAGCATATACTGTACTAACTAGTATATATCTCCCAGGGACGGAGATCTCTTAAATGGTTAGATGTTACGGAGAAGGTTCTATTTACTGACTTAGTCTTAGTATTCAAATATGTAAATGCCTTAGTTCCAGATTATTTTGGTAAATATTTTATTAAACATTCAGCAGTTCACAACAAGAACACAAGGGGATGTAACAATTTTGTGATCTCCCGATGTAGACTATCAATGGGACAAAGGGCATTTTATTTTCGGGGTCCAAAGGAATCGAATGGGCTACCTCACAATATTAAGAACACTAAAGATATTGATAGTTTTAAGCGGAGACTTTTTAATAAGATATTTCATACGAAATAATTTTGAATATATTTTGAATAATTTTGAATGTATTTGAATGTAATTGAACTTCTGTAAATAAGTTTTCTCTTCTTTTCTTAATTACCAGTATTATGTAATAATTAACATTGTGACTGAAAAGCCCTGTTGAAGGGAGTCTCAATAAAGTATGTATGTATGTATTTGCGAAAGCGACAATCAAGCCTCCTGTAAGCGAATGCCCTCTGGGCCAGGTGTAGCTTTCCTCGCACCTGTGGAGGGCCCGGGCAAAACTTCAAGCAACTTCAAGATGATAGGAAGAATTTTTTTGAAACCAATTTAATCAGCCGTGTATTCATTCACCATTTGGAGAATGCAAAGAAAAGCACTCTCATTCGTTCACGCGTCACAATCAATTCATTATAGGCTTAAAACTAAGAATTACAATGAATTTTTTGTGGTAGATTATAGTCTTCGCTCGTTATTGTCCGCTTAGGAAAGGTGTTTGTTGTAGTTCCTGAGGCCCTGAAAAATTTTAAAAGGTTGTACAAGCTAACTTACGAGAACACTCAGAACGCTTAGAATTGCCAGGACCATAGAAAAGCTTCCATTTAGGGGAGGTGCTAGCAAAGGTATGACTTACTTAGAAGTATTCTCGTCAAACAGACTCAATAATAGAAACGTAAAGTCTTTCTATATATACAAGTAATCTTGTTGCAACTTTCACATGTAACAACATTTTTTTTTACTTTAAAAGCAGTCGTTACTGTGAAAAATTGATAAGTGAAAACTAAAGGCACTTTTAGTGAATTTCCTATTTTCTAAACAATTATTTGTTAGCAGCAAACGCTCAGTTTGTATATTCAAACACTGAGTCAATCAAAGGAAAACCACGTAGTTTAGAATCAAGAAATTGGACTCATAATCGCTATAATTTTCATGTTGAGCTACATAATACGATAACCTTTTAAACTGGATTTTTCGCTGCTGAGAACAAACAAATGGTTCGTTACTGTAATCCTTAACGGTGCTGATCTTTTCAGATTTTCCCTTTTGGATCGAGCATTAAACTGCAGGAAACAAACTTTTAGCTGTAGAAATTAAATTCTGCTCAGTGGAAAATAACCATTCAAATCTAATAGACGGTTCTCAGCCAAGTAACACGGCATGAGACAGCCTTTGCGTTATTTTAAAAATCACTCCTAGCAATCAGCTAAGGAGACAAGTCGAATCTGTACTGGTTGTACGCTTCCCGAATCTTTTCCTTCGGTGGTGGGATACACTTTAGCATTAGATGATGTTCCCACGCAACAAACAAGCTCTTTAAAATGTCGTCTGAATCTGTGACTGACGAGGACGTATATAAAAGGATTAGCAGTACAGTTAAAAAGGACCAGAATCGTCGATACAACATGCAGTGCGTAGCCTTGCTTCTGTGAAACACTGTGGAAACTCAGCACACAGAGTGACGTCAGAGCAGGAATCCAGCAAATGAAAAACACAACACTGACCGTCATCACCATTTTAGTGATCCTTCTGTTAATTTTCACTCGTCCCTAGTCAAAAAATGGTAATTAGAATCCTTTAATACATGTACAATATTTTGTGGTTTGGTTGGAATAATGAGGTTTTTCTGAGTTTTTTCCTGGAAGATCAAACTTCAGCACCTGATGTCTTCAGTAGCTGTTCGTTTATCCTTTGCACGCATTTTTAGATAAGTTTGGTATTGATCAGTTGCTATGATTACGAGATACTATAGTAGGTGGTCGAGCCGTTTTTGAGTGAAAATTCATGCTTTTGTACCTTTTATCAACGGTAAAAGCAAAGCCTGTAGATAAAATGAAGCAAAGTACTTACTTATGTGTTATTTTACATGTCAAGCCCAAAAAATTACCAATTCTCTCGGTTTTAACCTGATTTCTAATTCTTGGTAAAATCCAAGATGGCGGCCAAGGTGGCTACCATGTTTGGTGACGTCACAGGTCCGAAGCAGCGACACTACCCATAAAATATAGTTTATCTTGTTGAGAAGATCAAAGCCTTTTCGATGAAAGCAAAGCTTTGTTCGAAATACTGGTGTACTTTAACATATCAAAAACTCAAGGGAGGGGTTCCACTGATCAAACCCTCCCCCCCTCCCACCACCCCCCCTGTACCACGGTGGGGGTATGACTTTGTGTGTACGTCCGAGGGTTAAGAGGTAATCAAATGGTGTACTTATAAAATAAGAGAATAATTTCACTTTCCTTCTGTCCAAAAAAGGCTCGGGAAATTGGTAGAATCTGGACAAAACGCGCTTGAAACTATTCCCTAATTTTCGTACCTATTTGATTACACCTATAAATCGTAATCATCATAATAATGATAATAATAATTAAAAAATAAAACTTTAACTCAATATGATTTCTTTTGTTTTATTCCACGAGCCAGGTATGAATTTTAAGATATTTAGCTGCAGATCGTGTGCCACTTTTAATTTTTGTTCTTACCACATTTTGACGTCATCTGAGATCTATTAACAGAAACATGACAAAATGTAATCCTTTCGTTATACAGAGGAGCGGTTAGATGGGGTAATCTGTTTTTTTCTCTCTATCTCTCGAGTGATTTTCCAAGTAACCTTTCCTGAAACGAATGCTGCTAGTGTACTGATGGACTTTGCAATGAAATCACTCGGAATATGGTGTACAGTTTCAGTGCAGTTTTTATGGACAATGGAAAATTGCCCTTTGTTTGCTAACTTACAAAAAAATCACATTTAAGGCAAAACCAAAACCTTACTTGTTGAGCACTGTCACCGTCGTCTGCATTCTCGTACCAGAGATAGTGAACCACCTTGAAGTATATTCCAGCCATCAGAAACATTGGGATTACTCCCGTCACAATAACCCACGCCATGCTGTTGGCCTTAGGCATCCAGCTTTCAGACCAGTAATCCATGCACATGCTTCTGAGTTCATTATAATGGACGCTTATCAGCAGAGGAAGGTTGAAAACGACAGCAGTCATCCAGACGGTTGAGACGATGATCTAAAATACAGGTAAAAATGATTACTAGAACGTGAGCAACTGCATTAAGGTGGCTCCGTAATTAATACAAGAGCATTTAACTGTGACAAATTTTCCGTCATAACTTTTTGGTTTTTAACGCGATGGCTGCAAAACTTGGCAAAGAACAACAGATATCATTCGGCAATAACACAAAATATTTTGATTTCACTGACGGTAAATATTTCTTGAGAAATTAGTGCTTAAAAGGACCCTACTGTTCAAAGAAAATCGCGTCTAGTAAAAAATTTTGCTGATATTTTTTTACTGAAATTTCTGGTATCGGCTTTAATTGATATAATAAATATGCCAGAGGAATTTCAGAAAAATCGTTGGAGCAGAAGTCCGTAACTAAAAGTCGGTCAAAATTCAGCTGTGAAATTGTTTTGGAATTTCAAAAAATAAATTACTATCAGGTAGAAGGAGCCACCAGTTTGAATTTTCAGGACAAGTAAATTCAACGCTTGCTAATTCTTAAAACAAAAAGCCGATTGCCTATCGTGCTATTCTTTGAAAGGTACTTTTTAGTTTTAGAAGAACTATAAATTGCTCCAAACTTTGCTCTGAAGTACAATGACTTTTTCGTCGACAGTTTTAAAATATCCCTCGGCAGTTTTGGCTCAAACTCCTGCTGCATACATTTTGATGTATTGCCGTGCATTTTCAACGACTTTTACTGCCGTTCGTTGCTTCCAACTCAGGAAAAAGTATTGAGATTGGACGCTACCTCGTATCAGAGCTCAGAAAGAACTGTGCAGCACCTTTGTTTATGACTACAAAATGAGCACGAGCTGCAGTTCTGCGTGGAATTCGCACCTCACCCAGGGGGACGAACGACAATGATGACCATGCCTGTGAACCGAATAACATCACAGTGCAAAATAAAATTATCGCAAAAATACTGCCCGTGAATCAATTTACAACTCTGAAATTTTTGTCACCCTTCCTTCAATGAATGGGTATTTTTTCTTGATTATTATGTTTTGCTCTGCAATACATGTTTATACAGATCGGTTCACAGACATGGGCATCATTGTCACTCGTCCCCCCTGGCTGAGGTGCGAATTCCTCGCAGAGCTGCCGCTCGTGCTCATTTTCTGGTCATAAACAAAGGTACTGGACAGTTCTATCTGAGCTTCGATACTAGGTAGCTTACAATCCCAATACCTTTTTCCTGAATTGGAAACAACGTAAAGCAGGAAAAGCCGTTGGAGATGCTTTGCAATACATCAAAATGTGTGTAGCAGGAGTTTGAACCAAAACTGCCAAGGGATATTTTAAAAATGTCGAGGAACAGGTCATTCGATGTCAGAGCAAAGTTTGGAGCAATTTATAGTGCTTCTAAAAACTGAAAATTACCTTTTAAAGAATAGCACGATAGGCAATCGGCTTCTGTTTTCAGAATCAGGAAACACACTGAAGTTGCTTGTCCCGAAAATTGAAACTGGTGTCTCCTTCTTCCTGATAGTAATTTATTTTTGAAATTCCAAAACAATTTCACAGCTGAATTTTGACCGACTTTTAGTTACGGACTTCTGCTCCAACGATTTTTCTGAAATTCCTCTGGCATATTTATTATATCAATTAAAGCCGATACCAGAAATTTCAGTAAAAATATCAGCAAAATTTTTTACTAGACGCGATTTTCTTTGAACAGTAGGGTCCTTTTAAGCGCTAATTTCTCAAGAAATATTTACCATCAATGAAATCGGAATAGTTCGTATTATTGCCGAATGATATCTGTTGTTATTTGCAAAGTTTCGCAGCCATTGCGTTAAAATCGAAAAAGTTATGACGGAAAATTTGTCACAGCTAAATGCTCTTGTGTTAATCACGGAGCCACTTAACATAGCGGTACTGATGGTGGTGGTGGTAATGGTGGTGGTCGTGGTGGTGGTGGTGGTGGTGGTGGTAATGGTGGTGGTCGTGGTGGTGGCAATGGTGGTGATGGTGGTGGTGGTAATGGAGGTGGTCGTGGTGGTGGTAATGGTGGTGGTGGTGGTAGTGGTAATGGTGGTGGTAATGGTGGTGGTGATGCTGTTGGTAACAGTGGTGGTGGATGCGGTGGTAGTGGTGGTGGTGGTGGTGGTAGTGGTAGTAGTAGTAATTGTTGTAGCCCAAGTCCAACTAGAGCGTACTGACAAAGGGCTAACCCTTATCAGCTTTCGAATATCTTCACATTGGAAAATGACGAAAGATTCATTTTCACACACCTTTAGCCTTGATGCATTTAACTGTCGCTGGTGAATCTGAGGATCCAAAACAGCAAAATATCTTTCAAACGCGATGATAATCAGTGTTAACACTGAAGTAACCAGTGCAACCCAGGCAAGAACACCACTGGTCAGAAATTTGCAGAGAACTGTGCCTGAGATCCCTTCAGGGTGATTGACAGTGTGCGCCACAATAGAACGAGGAACTAGAAAGAGAGCCACTATGATGTCTGCTGCGGCGAGGTTCAGAATTAAGTAGTTCATGCGAACCCTAGTATTGGAATTAGTAAACAAGCTGTAAGTAACACTTCCAAGAATCGTAGGAAATCTTTCTCACAATGGTCAGAAAAAAAAATTTCAATGCAACTGTAAAGCTTCTAGTCTTGTGCAATCCAGGGATGAAATAATAAATTTCATGATAAAAGTGTTAGAATTAGCGGACTTGTAGTATATGTACTAAAAATCTTTTCTGCTATAGTGACTTCGCAGGTTAATCACTTGGCCAACACGGTGCCTTTCTCTTAAAAAAGAGCGTGGCCTTTCACAATAACCAGCGATTAATCCACAAGAATAATTAATAATTAATGAATGAGACCGAGAATCTTATGAAGAATTATGGAGATCGAGGAGGGTGTTATCCGTCGAGGCCGTAATAACACCCTCCGGATAACACCCTCCGTGATCTCCATGCGAGATCTTCGTATGATACGAAAGCCGAATTCAATAATTGTTTTATTATTCATTCAAAATAATTCCTAGTTTAAAAACATGCTTATAAAACCTCCATCGATCCATCGATGTTAAGTTCATCTTCGATAGTCCACGTTTAGGGTTGTTCAGCTCCGCAAATATTCTCCAAATAGCAGATGTCGCCCTTTCGAGTTGTCTTCTCGCTGTTCTTTCCATGTTTTTAGATATTATTTCGCCTAGTCCTTACTCTTGAAACAAGTGAAATGTCCGCCATTTTTTGTTTTCACAACCAAAACAACTCAACCTCGTCCCCAGGTCTTCTCAGTTAACGGTGCATTAACCTACAAGAAGATTGCACTTTTGCCATCAGCGGTTCATTAAACGCAAAATTCTTCCAAATTTGGTCATCAGTAGCTGGCTATGGTGAATTATGCACGTGCTTTTAGCCAATCAGAATAGGGGAAGTATTTTGTATGAATAAAAATAGAAAGTAAGTTAACTCTTAATTAATTTGAATAGGCAAAAAGCTTCTTAATTTTGCACGGTACTTATTTTGTTCACATGGCAGCAGTGTTGTGTTGTCGATATGACACTATATGAAAGTGGAATGTTGCATACGTCAAAGATATGTGAAAATAATTGAAATCATCTGTTAACATGAAATACAATGCATCTAATATACAGATTTAGCCAATATACTTATAATTTACTCAAACAAAAAATTAAATTAAAATAAAATCTTGTAATGCTAAAAGGCGAGGGCTGCGAAGGAGGACGGCAAGAAAATCAATAGGTCTAATAGGCAAAAAAAAATACTTTACACTTGCAGCACATGTTTTTGGACATTTCTTTGACGTTGTTTTGCACGACTACAACATGAAACTTCGTAGTTACACATCGTATGTAGGAAATGTCGTATGTGCTCACCAGAAACTTGCTGCTTATGTTTCTGTTCGTTTTTTTTTTTTCTTTCAGTGCCGCTCATTTTCACCTTGCTGGTCATTAGAATTTCTCATCTTCTCACCGCCAATTTCCATGTTTTACTTCCAACGAAATTCGTCTCCTTTGTTTTTTATTTAACGCTTTAGCTCTTTCTCTGTTATCCACGTCAGTAAAGACTTTGAAATTTAGTCGGGCTTGACTTTGTTGTTGTTTTCTCCCACTAAAAAGTCCGGGTAGCAATACGATTTCCGGCCAAAAAAGAACCTTGCTGCATTTGGGCTGCCATATACCTGTTGATTGAATTATTTTTCATTGGTATGCCCGTGGTGCGGACGGGCGTGCGTACGGTTACGTGTTTATTAAAAATTCTCGAATCGTAGATAACTAAATTTTCTTTCCCATCGTACTCCGCTGCTCGCGTTTTGCGCGCGCGAGAACTCCGCTATTTATACAACGACACTACTATTAAAAAAAATGAACAAAGGTTTATATAACGCACGTGGAACAAAGAACTCTATCAGGTGCGAAAAGATTATACTAGTCTGAAGCACCAATAGTAACCGAAATCGTATGTTAAGTGTAATGTCTGACGGACACTCGACCGGCCACTGACCTCATGTCTTGGAACTTGATGATAAGTAAACAAACGATCGTATTGCCAACGACGTCAATGCTTGCTAGTATTGAGATGAACACTGTGACCGCGGTCGACTGTACGGCGACTGCGTCTGTGTTATACACCATTAATGACGTAAAGATTTTCCTCGAACCTAAAGAGAGGTAAAGAGTCACCAACAGCAAAATTCACTTTACGCGATAAAAATTCAGAGACAAAGTCGCTTGCGTGGGAGAGAAAGGACCCGGGCTACAAATGTTACTAGCTTAAACACCCCTGAGTGGATCGAGTTGGTAGGAGAGGAGATAAACGCGCAGAAAAAAAAATTGCTGTTTGGTAATGGCTTTAAGACAGAATCCATCAGGAAACTTTATGAGTAATTTTAATTTTCAGAGGACAAAAACCTTGTACTAGAATAATTTAAACAGTATCGCATTCTTTTTTACATTTTTCAAGGGCTATAAATGTAATTAGTTATCTGTAATAACACCAAAGAAAATCTCTTATGAGAGCCCGAGAAAATAATTGTAAAATTTCACAAAATGACATCTTACACCTGAAATTTTCAGAATTTTACCTGCGTTTTCACAATTCTTGTGAAATTTGACATTTATTTTCTTGGGCCTCCATGAGAAAGTAAATGGTTCCAAAAAAGTCGCTGAGTAAAAGATCAGACGTTAGCGAAACCCAGCTACCAGCCACAAACTTCACTATATTTTCGTTTAGGTTCTCTTTTCCTGTAATAGCCAGTTAGGTTAAAAGAAGGTATCTTAACAGACTGGTCGCTAGCATATTATATTTTGTTCTGATAACATGCATTTGAAGTAGTTCCAGAAGAATTCATCACTAAATAACCCGACTGATTCCCTAAAGGGACTGTATTATAATTGCGTAAAATTGAATCGCACTGTGCAAGAGAATTTTGTTGAAAGACCGAGATAAATAGTGTCCCTGTTTGACTTTAAAGGTACTCCTTAAGATCACGTTCTATTTTTCAGTTAGCAATAATTGTCAGTCTTATCAGAAAACTTTCTAAGGAATATTATATGACGAAGATTGAATAACAGCACCTTAAGTCCCATCAGCTGTGAGTTACAGTAACTGACAGAACTGTTACAGAATTTTGAGGAAAAGAAAGCACTTACCGAGATGTATGTGCTTGGCTGCAGTGTACACGGTTCGTATCTTCGAGAACAATAAATCGACAAATGTGGAGTATCCTTCATTAACTGCTTAAGAAAGGAAATTATTTTTGTTGTACGAGATTTCTAGTTAATTAACAGAGGCTATTGCAAAAGTGCCGTTCTCAAGGACTAACAAAAAATAATCATAAGTTTAATTGCATAATGTCTTGCACCAAAACATGTTCCCTAGTAGGATTATATATAAAAACCAAGTTACTTTTAGTGCACCAACTACATGCATTGAATCGAAAAAAAAGTAAATTCAAGCTAGGTATAGATGATAACTGGCAACTAGTTTTATTCTTCGTAAAACGAAAAAATTTCCTTAAATTAGACGGACAAACCGTGCTAGTGCGGAGCGTTTTGTTAAATAACCGACATGGGTAAATACAATTAATTTTTACAGGAAATTATATGACAGGGGCTTCTTACTTTTGAGGAGCACCAAATCACTTGCTATTGTACTAGTCTTACTTTTTCTTTCATTTCCCTTAAACGAATAAATGGTGGATACTTTTTTTTTTTTTGGCGGTGCCTGTTTTCGCGCTATTGCCATTAATACACCTCTGTTAATACACCTCTGTTCTTTTCAATAGCGGAAGAGAGCACTTATCATGATATGCTGTGACTGAAACGTGCCAGCTCGTTTCCATTAGAGGATTAGGATTAGGATTCAATGTATTGTCCTTCATTCGTTAACAGGTGGACATTTGAGTGCGCTGAACTACACGTCGTAAATACTGGAAAAGTGATAGATGATTCCATCTGTCATCCTCATTTAAGAGATTCAATTATGTGTTATAGAATTATTAGCCCTCCAAGTATTGAAGCCGTTAATTGCAAACTATTTCGAAGAGAAAAATCAAATGGAATTACACGTCGTTTCCCTGTACGCATGCAGTTTTGCCTCGCCTTCGAGGCGAGATAAATCTTACACCCGCGCGTGCCTCGTTTTCAAGGCGAATTTTGAATCGCGCGCCCTTTACATATGCCCCTTGCACCTCTCCCATAATGCACCTTATTTGCCTCCCAAGATTTTGCATAACCTTTGTTTTTCATTTCTCCTGGGCATTACACCCGTTCCAAGAGAAATTGAAAACTATGCTTATGCAAAAAATTTGGGAGGGGGGGGGGGGGGGGGGAGTTATGAGGTGCATTTTGGGAGATAAGCAAGTGGCGTATGGGCTAAAGGAAGCATGGGCTTCGACTAACTAAAGATTAAAGTTTTCTCTAATAAAGTTGAATTGCTCACATTGAAGTATCCATTTGGGGAATGTCGTTTCTGGTCCCATACCATGCGAATGATTTAATTTTGAACAAGACCGCGCTGCGCTTGGTTTGATCGAGGTAGACTAGTTTCTATTAGTCACATCTGAACACGACAGAACTAAGATAATTTGGTAAACTATCCATCCGAGAAAGGTTGATTATGACGTCAGCGTACGTCCGTCCGTACGGACTTTCCGGGTAGTGGAAAGTAGTCCGCATGGACCCTTGGGGTAGGGGAAAGTAGAGATTTTTTGGCGGGAAATCGCATGGCGCAACGTCGCGCAATTATATCGCGCAACTAGTTTTGAAAAAATAAATTTCAAAGCAACTTAAGAAAAAGATTTTTCGACAATGCGTTTATAACTTTCTATTACAACTTACGAAAGAAACAACAGCAGAGAGATTTTAGCGTGTAGACGACAGGTTTTAAGCAGAGAGCAAAGAGAAGATGAACGGCAGAGAGCAAGAGTCAACACGCGTAGAGCAAGCGACGACGATCGCCAAAGAGAGGGCGTTAGAAGTAGAAGAAGAGGACAAAATTTTAGCGAAGAAAGTCGGCAAGTAGAAAGAGACAGGGCGAGAAGAACGAGAGAAAACTATAGTGAAAAACGCCGGCAAGCACAACGAGAGAGCTAGAATGAATAGACAAAGGCAACGCGAAAGAGAAATACAAAGGCAAAGAGAACGGCAGGAAAATAATGAAATGATGACAGAAAGTGTTGTGTTAATGTCACTATGGCCCCGCACTGTTAACATTTTGATTTCAAACTGATCTCGGACGCGAAAATTCAGCCAGTGATTTAAAAATACAAGCAGGGAAGACAGAGGCTTTTCACTTTTCTCACCACTAAATCA